GGGATGTTCCTTCTTTACAATGAGAACTTTATGACACATGGTAATTATGCCTCAAACACACAATCAGGTTTTGGAGCTGTCAAGATAATAGACCGCAATCCGCCCTCTACCATTTGAGCTGGCAACCATTAGCAGCTTCCTGGAATTACTGTTGTAGGGGGGTTTTTAGCTGTCAAGTTACAGCTGACTTATGGTGATTCCATCGGCAAAAGATGGTCAGAGGTGGCTGGCCATTGCCTGCCTCTGTGCCATCCCCCTGGTATTCCTTGGAAGTCTCCCATCCAAATACTAGCCAGAGCTGACCCTGCTTGACTTCCAAGATCTGGTGAGCCACAGCGAGTTTGGTGTGGAGAGCCAGTTTGGTGTAGTGGTTAAGTGTGCGGACTCTAATCTGGGAGAACCGGGTTTGATTCCCCACTCCTCCACTTGCACCTGCTGATGTGACCTTGGGTCAGTCACAAGCTCTGGCACAGCTGTCCTTGAAAAAGAGCAGTTTGTGCCAGAGTTCTCTCAGCCCCACCCACCTCACAGGGTGTCTGTTGTTGGGAGGGGAAGGGAAAGGAGTTTGTAAGCTGCTCCGAGACTCCCTTGGGTAGTGAAGGGCGGGGTATAAATCCAATCTCTTCTTCTTCTTCTTCTTCTTCTTCTTCTTCTTCTTCTTCTTCTTCTTCTTCTTCTTCTTCTTCTTCTTCGCTATCCACCTCAGAATTTAGGATGAAAAAAGTATCACCGCCACCCCTGAGGAATTTTACAAGATACCGCTACTCTATTGGATTGCCTTCCTTCGGATTCTCCAGATGTTTCCTCCAGATGTTTAATTACTCATTAAGTTTAAGAAGTATTACCTTTTGTCTGTCCTGAATCTATTGACTTATAGAAAGGTGAACTAATTTTGCATTCAAGAGCAGTCCTGTTACTTAGAGATGTTTTCAAATGTCTCACCCCTGGTCTTTGGAACTGAAGAGTCCAATTTAAATTTTGCTTCCTCATTGCAAAATCCTTTACTTTGGTGACATTTAATATTTCCTTACTCTGGATTTTTTTCTAGAAAAATGTACTTTTTTTCACTGTTATTTATGTGTCAGAAAATCAAGCAGTTTACACACATATAGACACACACACACACATAAATATACATTGTATATAGTGTCTAAATGGCATATAAAAACCACGCAATGCGAACAAATTTACAAAAAGAACACAAAAAAGAGGACAACCCAAGCTGTTGACAGTGATATAAAAAGTAATGAAAGAGGGAACACTCACACATCTCTCCTCGAAGTCTGAGTGCATCACTTTCAATATTTGGCCTTCAATAAACATTTTGCCCAAATAATGGCAAATTTCTTTACCACATTTATACAGCTGTGCTAACCACTACAAAATGGCCTCAGAACTCCTTCAAAGCAATGCCCTAATAATCCCAAATACTCTTCCGAAAACTCCTAAACCAATTGCAAAGTTTCACTGATTACACCTTTTGATACAAACTCAATAGAGGACGGCGGAAGACAGGAAGGCCTGGCGTGATCTGGTCCATGGGGTCGTGAAGAGTCGGACTCGACTGTGCGACTGAACAACAACAACAATAATAGAGCAATCCAAACAACAACCAAAGATGCAGTCCATGTAAGACCTTTTATTAGGGCCAACTTAATGACACACAACAATGTTCAAGCTCTCTAGTGCCTCAGAATTCAGGGAAGACGTTGTAAAATTAAAAAAGAGAGGTGGGAAAGCAGATTTTAAGCATATTTCTGAGATTCTGATGCAAACCTCTCCTCGTTCCCAAGGCATGGTGGATATTCTGAGAAGTATCAAAGAGTTGCAATGATCCAGGGGCCACGGAAGCCAGAGGCAATCAAGCTATTAAACTCCTCAGCAACAATCCCCCTTCAAAGTATTTCCCCTGTTATCCAGTGAGACTCCAGCCAGCGATGGCTCCATGAAGGACTGATCTCAGCGATGGCTCTGTGTCATTCAGTGGATAAGGTGTGTGTGCAAAGCACCATCAAGTCACAGCCAAGTTATGGCAACCCCTATGACCATAAGAACATAAGAAGAGCCCTGCTGGATCAGACCAAGAGTCCATCTAGTCCAGCATCCTGTTCCACCCAGTGGCCAACCAGTTCCTCTGGACGGCTAACACCGGGATACAGAGATTGAGGCCTTCTCCTGATGTTGCCTCCTGGCTGTGGAGGTTCCCCTCAGTCACCACGGCTAGCAGCCATTGATAGGCTTGTCCTGTATGAATCTGTCTAATCCCCTTTTAAAGCTGTTTATTCCTACATCCTCTGGCAGTGAATTCCACATTTTAATCACCCTGCTTAGCTTCTGAGACCTGATGAAACAGAGTGAGCCTTGGCCATCCAAATCAGGACATACAGCCCATTACATGAGTGCAAATCTGCATGTCCGATATCTTCTTTAAAGATATATATTTCTAATATCATTGACAATGGTGGGCAATAGAGCATGATCGTTTGCCTTGCACAGGTGTTCTGTGTGGTGGCAGAACTACTTGTTAGGAGCATTGCATGTCTGACCACACAGTTCCACTGGTGAAAGCTAACCCTCGCCTAATACATAAGGTGCACCCAACCTTTCAAAGTGCCATTGTCTACTCACATCATTTCTGGGGATGCGGCGTAATATGAACATTGCCTGATTAATATGCAAGAAAGGGAAGAAGGAGGCCAACACATGACATATCCAGCAATGTGGCAGGGGATGTGGCTTATTCACATCACTTGTGGTGATGTCAGGATACATGTGAGTCCGTGTGCATGGCCCAGTATGCAAATCACCTTATTGATATGCATCGCCTGAGCCATGCTCCCAATCCTACATCACCGGAAGTGGTGGGTTCACCTCCCATATTGACACACTCATGATAGTTAGGGGAGAGAAGTCTCATAAATAATTAGCCCACAGGTGTCATAAAAATGCTCATTTTTTTCATGCGCATTTTTGACCATGCCGAAAAATGGTTTTCATTCTGATGATATTTGTCACTCTTTGTAACAATGTTTCCCTCATTCAATGACATTTCCCTTATTTGTTCACACGCCCAGGTGCCCTCATTTACTTCAGAGACATGGTCAAATCTGATTGGCTGACATAATCCTATTAGATGTAACCTGGGACTCATTGAAGGGGGAGGCAGCTGCAACAACCAGTGGTAATGAGGGCACTGAAGAAGGGGCAATTGAGGGAAACAAATGTATTAAAAATAGGAGAATAGTCACACAATGTTTTGGAGGGAGAGGAGGAGGAGGAGGAGGAGGAGGAGGAGGATGGATTTATACCACGCCGTTCACTCAGAGTCTCAGAGTGGCTTACAAACTCCTTTGCACACTTCACCACTTCACCAAAACCTTCTACTCTACTGAAATCATGACTTTTAACCCCCAAATCAAAACAACTGAATAGCCATCAGGGCACGGCCCTAAACTAGACAGGGACTCAAGTTCAATGGGTCAAATTATCCCAGAGAAACAGGGGGGGGGGAAATGGATACCATGTGTTTTCTTCTCTAGCTTCATATTCATAGATCATAAATTCAATTGCTCTGTGGTGATTCATGTAGTTTCAACTTTCATCATTATTGAAGAGGAGGAGGAGGAGATTGGATTTATACCCCACCCGTCACTATCCAAAGGAGTCTCAGAGCGGCTTACAATCCCCTTCCCTTCCCCTGAGCACAACAGACACCCTATGAGGTAGGTGGGGCTGAGAGAGATCTCTCCAGAACTGTCACACCAGCAGCTGTATGTGGAGGAGTGGGGAATCAAACCTGGTTCTCCCAGATTAGAGTCCATGCTCTTAACCACTACACCAGGGGTGTCAAACATGCAGCTCGGCGGCCGGAACAGGCCCCCGGAGGGTTTCCATCAGGTCCGCGGTGGAACTGGCCATCTCCTGCTTCCAGTTCTGCTGCTGCTGCTGCATCCTAGCTTGCTTTGCCAGACTCTCTTAATCACTCAGCCATTTCATGTTTTCCCCTGGGTCCTAGACTCAGAACTCTGAGCATGAGATTTCTGTGGTGAATGTCAATAAATCAAAATTAGGTTTGCAGCTCACAGAGCTAATGTTTTAAGCATGTTCTTATTTTAATTTTAAAAAGAGAAATATTTGTGTTTGTGTCCTTTATAAAGTTTATATCTCCGCTACCTGGCATTACATTTTATGGCACACATGGCCCGGCCCAACAAGGTCTCATTTATGTCAGATCCGGCCCTCATAGCAAATGAGTTCGACACCCCTGTGCTAGAGTGTAGTCTAACCATGCTGGCATCCATTGTTACCCCATTGCATTGAATGTGAAACTGGCATTAATACAGAGAGTAAGGATGACATAATTGGTTTTTTTTAGATTATATTTTCTCCCTAGTATTTTTGCTGCGGTTCTGCTTCTTGACTGCCAAAGGGAAATACATAATATAGGGTTGTAATTTCTTTCTTGGCAGCTGCTTAATACAACTCCCCGAATCTGGTGTGTCACGCTTTTTGTTGGAGGTCAGGGTTAAAATATGTTTGCATCAACTTCCCAGAAAAGTTTGTAATGTAACCAAATAGTGCTTGGAAGGTGGAAGGGCTCCTCTGGAGATGTAAGGACTATGCTTGTCAAATAAAGCACTTTTTAGCAAACAAAAGGAAATGTTGCAGCAACCTTTTCAAAGCAGGGACGCTTTTGTCCTGACGTGATGCAAAATATGAAAAGAAGCTTTTAAGAAAAAGAATTCTCCTCTCCCTTCCATGTAACAAGCAACAAAAAACGTTTTGGCTGTGGCTATTTATATCACATTATATTCCTGTGGCTACCTCAGAATCATTTTGGGGTTGAAATTTTTCCTATGTCAAAGAAATAACTGTGGTTTTTACAACAGAGCTATACAATATTATTTGGCAAGTACTGAATTTTTAATGACCCCATTTCTATTAAATACATAATCTTAGAGTTGTTGTTTTTTTTAAGCATGCAGCGATTGAGTAAGTACCTTTTGCACGATTATAATGCCTTCCTGTGTGTCATTCTGGGTCACAATGCTAAACAAATCCCTGTCGTTGCCATCAGTAATTTGGTATTTAAGTTCAGCATTTCTTCCAATGTCCGCGTCGGTGGCTTTGACACTTCCAATGGCAGTGCCAACTGGAGAAGATTCTGGAATGCGAAGGTGAATCGTACCTGTAAAAAAATAATAATAATAACCAGAGTCAGAAATACAAAAAGAATGCCTAAGTCACAGTCATACATGATTTATACCCCAACACCTCAGCTTCAGACTTTCATTGATGAAACTGAATGGTGAATCATAAGGGAGAGGAAGGCATAGACAGGGGATTCGGTTCCAGGGAGCAGCAAGTTTCTACCTAATGATACCTGCACAGCTTCCCATCTGGCCTCTCCAAAATAAGTTCTGCTCAACTTTTGGCTCATCAAGCCAAGGACAGGCCAACGGGAGCCACTCCTGGGCGTGATAAATCTGCATTCCTGGGATTGCAACAACAGGGGTGAATGGTCAGCTACCAAGCGGACCGTAGGAGCGACGACGACATCGGATCGAGGCGGGACCGGATGACGCAACTGCGGAGCGACACGGCGCGGCTGGAGCCCGAAGGGATGAGTAGCCGGGAACGCTGCAGTCCAGGAGCAGTGCGCATCAACGGAGGGTCCATCTGCAGC